CTTGAGGCTCGAATATGTGTTGCAGCTACCGATTTGTTTCTTTTTTTAGGCTCTTATGATAGTCAAGGTTGCTGATCCCTGGTGTGGTGTCAAACATCCAACTGTAGAAAAAAAAAACTATTTTTGAGTGGAGGGGGACTTAAAAAAGGTTTGCAGCTGCCAGTGAATCGATGTGCACACATTTACTCTTTAGTCCACTCATTTAGTTCATGCATGTTTAGGTGTGTGTCGGTGGTGCAGTGTGCAGGACAGAGTGACTAATGTGAGGCTCCTTGCTTAATCACTCACACTGTATACCTCAGCCCACCTTAATGAATAAATGACAGAGAGATCAAATAGAGGAGTCTACAAAAGAAAATATACATGAAATATGCAAGACTGGCTTTTTCATATGCCCTTCTCATTCTGAACGTGTGAAACTTTGAAGTTCCCACAAGAAATACAAACTATCGTATCAGCATTATGTGTGACCTCTGTTTTGTACGTGTAATTCTCTCTCACTGACGAAGCCGAGTTCTTCCTCATAATATGTGCTTCTGTGCAACTAATGTGTGTGCATTTGGCGAGAAAGTGTGACAAATTGCCCTGTTGTTTCCTTCTGATTTGAGGTGATTGTCTCTGACTGAGTGGTGGCCTACTAAGTATTATTTATCACTGTAGATGACTGATAATGTTTTTTGTATTGGTAAACAGGATTTTTTTCCCCCTGTAGCAGTGCTTTCTAAGTGTTTTCTGGATCCCCAGAGAGATGTGTGTGGTAGGTTGTACTGACTGTAAAGTACTGTGAATGCATGGATACATCAAAGATGTTGGAGATAGCTGCTGCTGTCTTGGGATTTCATACATTATAGTACTATCATATACCAAGCCTCTATTTGTCTTGTGCAGATAAAAATACGGTGGGAGTGATAACTGTTCAAGGGAGTACTGCAATATAAATGTGTGTGTGTGTGTGTTTACCTAGTCCTTTCTGTGTCTAGCTCACAATGTCAAACATGAATGAAAATCTGCAGCCAAACTCCTGCGGATGATGTGCTTGAATATACAGCTGAGGAGACACTGGAGTTCATCCAGGCGCAAAGGAACCCAAACAAAGAGCAGAAATGCCCGTCCAGTATTGCTTTTCATTTGTTCATTGATTTATTTAGACAGAACATTGTGTAAAGAGGTGGAGCCATTTAACTTTAATTAAACTTTCCAGTTCAACAGCTCCGTTATAAAGTACTTCCTGGATGACATTAGATTAACACATTTATTAAAGTGATCAGATGCTGATTCAATTATCTTCTCGTCCCTGGGACTAAATGATGTTCTGTGTTTGTAAACTAGCTGTCTGTGGTCATTTACCCCAAACATATTCTAAATATTGCAGACAGTTTCATTAGAAATTGGTCCAGGTTCTTCCTCATTCCTCATCATTTGCGGACGTTAGCAAACACAAAAGGGGATTTTCTAGACAGGTTTCTTTGTGTAAATGTGTACATACGGGGTTTCTAACCAAAGCACATTGTGTGTATCTTTGAGTGCATTTCCATCCTCATAAAACACTTGCAAAGGCTTTTTTTAGATATTTTAAATTGTGCATTGTTTACATCTGTGTTTGCTTGCTACCAGTCTTCTTCTTGGCCTTTCTTGGAACAATGCTATGGGTCACCGCCCCCAACTGTCCATCGGTGTGAAGCCAACGGCAGGATGTGAAATCTGCTGCCTGATTACTGACACACTTGCATGTGCATCCTCATACTAACCTCTAGTGCCATGATGAGGTCAGACTTCGATTTATGGCCTTAAAAACGAACGACATTCCCATTAGCCTCAGTTGTTTGCGTTTAGTGCCAATTTACAAATGTCAGCATGCTAACAAGCTAAACAAATATGGTGAACATGGTGAGCATTATACCAGCTAAATATCAGTAAGTAGTCATTGTTAGCAATTAGCTCAAAGCTCTGCTGCAGAATAGCCTTACAGGGTTGCACAGCTGTAGACCCAGGCTGGAAACACAAACTCACGTGAGCAGTGCATGACGGCCGCCTCTCTGAACTGCTGCGGCTCGGACGCCTGTGGTGTCCCCACAGCGAGCATTGCTGCTGCCAGCCCTATCTTTCTACACTGAGTTTGCCTTTGCTAAAAACAATACAATAAAAACCTTGATAAAGGAACAGTGTGTCGGATTTAGTGGTGAAGTTTCAGATTGCAACTGACTGATCACCGCTTGCGTCTGTATTTGTATTAGTGTGATGTAGAAAGTTGAAGCCACCAGTGCACAAACACTGAGAATGGACTTTACAGAGAAGTAGGAGACATCTTGTGTCCAGCAGGAAAACTTTAGAAATGAACAAAATCTGCATATTCATAGATGTCAAGGTAAAGTATGTGGATGAATAAACTGCTGCTTCTCTGGAGAGTTGACACGCATCATAACTGAATATGTGACATATCCCAGCAAGTTGATGTGCATCCGTCACCACTGTATACTTAAAATCTTAAAATAATCAATATAAAAAGAAAACAGTAGGGAGCAGGATGTGATACTACAGCATTTACTTGTACATGTAGGTAGAATTACAAATGAGCAATATTAAGTGAAATGTAAGTGTGTGAGTGCTGGTGTGTAGATTCGAGCTTCCCTTTACACCACACCCTGAAATTGTGTTTCATTGAGCAGATACAAATGTAAATGGTCCAATATATTCATGGACAAAAAAGTCATAGGTCAGTGCGATCCCTTTCTTCCAACAATGCCCCCCACAGGCTCCCACAGTGCAGCTGTGTGAGACTTGCTCAGTCTTATTTCAAACAGCTCTCTGTCTTTGTCTGTTTATTGATTAAAAAAAAACTTTAGCCACTGAAACCTCAAGCTTTTGACAATAGCAATCATGTCAGGAGGAGGAAGTTAATGGAAAAAAGACATTAGCTTACTTTGATTGCTTTCATGTTTGAAGACGAACGTCTGTGAATCAATATCTGTCCTTTGTAAATGCTCCCCGTATGTGTGCCAGCCTATCCTGACCAGGCAAATCAAATCTCTGGCCATCATACCATTACAAAAGAGTGGTCTGATATCTGGGGAAACCACGGAGCCTCCAGGCAAGACAACTTAGGATATTACTTCTTGGAGAGCAAAAAAAAACACCAAAGGAGGAAGAAAGGACACAAAGGGCAAAAAAATGCTCTGGTTTCCAGACATTGAGTGCAAACACAAGCACCAACTTAGAGGGCAGTTTTTGTGACCAAAGACATACGTTTATGTGACCAAAGACACAAGTCCAAACTGGGTGTACTAGAAATTAAGAAGGAATGGATGAGTACATTGCTGCTGGGACAAGTCTTCAGTAATTGCCAATCACATCAGCCTCTCTTGTCTCCTTTTAAAGCTGAAGACAATTTTCAAATGGCCCAGGGACGAGAGTTGAGGTCAGTTTCTCTTAGGAGAAGCCTGTTAGTGAGGTGCAAAGCACTGAGGAACCCAAATATAAATACCCTGAATACACCACCTGAAATTAGTGTGTGTGTGTGTGTGTTTGATTTTTTTTTTGTTTTGTTTATTGTTAAGTAATACTTATTTTCATTCTGGATTAATCTTGTTTTGTCCATTAATTGTTGTTGTTGTAATGTTTAGATTCACCATCAGTCCAAAACTCAAAGATATTCACTTTGCTATCACATATCACAAAGAAAAGCAGCAGATAAACACATTTGCAATGCTGGGAAGAACACTTGATATTTTTTGCTTGAATGATTTAAAATGATTAACTGATTATCAACACTATTCACTGCTGATGGATTAATCAACTAATTGTTGATCACAGAATGATGTTTTTTTTATGATTTTGATGTAATAAGATCTGCCTTGTTACATTATAATTAGACTGGGATCATTATGTGTTTTTTCTCCACATGATCCAAACCTTCTAGGATATAACACTGAGTTACGTCTAACCACTTTAGGCTACTGTAAACTAACTGTTGATGACCGCTGGGCCACTCTCAGACCCTAAAGGCATATTAAAGGGACTGCAGCTGCATTTAGGCTACAGTAATTATGTATGTATTAAGTGTAAGCAGCAAAATAACCGGCAGAGACTGAGAGATTCCAATTGTCTTTACGCAGCGATCACACCACAAAACAAGATATTTAAGTTTCGAAAAAGGACATTCTGTTTGTTGAGATTGCAAAAATCTTTGTTCCAGTAGAAAACTGCACATGTTTTATAACGATCACAAAACAACCATTCAGCAATAACATTTGGATAAAGCTAAACAAAATGTGTACACCCATCATTTAACCAGCTTTCTGCAGCACTTCATGCCACTCAACCCGCACCGTATCGGTCCAGTTGGAGCCACAGAAATAACAAAAGAGAAAGAGAGATGGAGATGGAGAGTGGGCATGAAGCCGGAGATATGTATCATACTCCAAACGTTTCATAATTCAATTAGCCTACAAATGATCATGTGCGTCTCATTCATCGTGGGAAAAGCTGTAACAGCCAATACAACATCTATGGATTCATATTATGTGCTCTTTCTCATCCAATGTCTCATCATCCTCCATCAACCAACACAACTTCCACTGTTTATCTGTCCCGGACATCAACGCGCAGAATGATCACCATGAAGAGGACAAATAAGCGAAGAACAGCCAACTTTACGTTCGTGCGGAATAAAATACGACAGAGAAGTTGTTGAAAGAGGAAGCGGTGTATTTGAACTAAGTTCTCTAATGCATTCATCGTTACGAGACATTTATTTAATCATTAACATAATAGTTTAACATTATTTAACAAACGTAGCTCCTTAAGCACCTCAGAAAGTTCATGCTGCGCTCTCCTCCAGCATTGCACCGTGTTGGAAGAAAACAGAATCAACTCCTCGCAGTATTAGATATCAGAAAGTTGTGCAACCGACACGCTGCACTTCTAAATCTTAGAGAGAGACACAGACACAGGAGAGAGTAAACAGGCGAACAGAGCGAACATCAATTAAAACGAGCTCTTACCTAAGCGTCCAGACCTCCTCTTGCGCCCCTGGCACCCCCACACCATCCACAGCTCATCTCCCAGCCCGGCCCATCACCGGTACAGTCCACAGAGCCCAGCCAACACCATAACCGTGTCCAAGGAAAGAAATAGCAGAAAGGGAAAGAGAGAAAGAAAAACTAAAGAGGAAATAGAAAGAAAGACAATAAATAAGGACTGTACTAGTGAGACTTCTCAAATTTGTGTTTGTCCAGTTAGGCTTCTGTCCAGCCTCCTCTCTTTACTTTATTTATTTAGTTTCTCTGTAGATTTTGTATAAATCACTTTCCCAAATGAAATCTCGCTACTGTTGCAGAGGACTGAAGTGCGTCGGACTGAAAGAGGCTGAGCGGTCCGCTGGTAGAGCTCTGTGCGCTGTCAAACTGCTCACAATACAGAGGGCCACTTCCGGTGGAATGTTTCAAAATACAACTCTAAAGGGTGAACTGT